AGTTCTTGTACATACTGTAATTATTGTAAGTATCATGTGCATGTCCTTTGCTTGCGCCGAAATGAAGTTTTTAGATTAGCTGTTTACGGTTCTATTTAGCGCAGCTATAATAGTCGTCGCCCGACTTTAAAGCAAAATCATGCAAAAGCTAGAATTTGAGTAAAGCCAAGTTAAGGTATGTTGCCATTGCAAAATAATCAAAGCACTGTCAAAGATGGGCAGCAATAGTTAATTACAGCTTCTTGGACTAAAAGATAAACGATTTTTACATCCTTCAAAAATATGCAGAAGATAATGTAAGCCCTTAGAGTTAGAACTTCCATTGGTCTTTGTGATCAAAAAATCTGAGTGCATTCTATAACTTGACACCATGAACAACAATGCCGGAATATTTGTTGCACGAGGAAACGAGCTGCTGAGAAATATAGGAAAAATGTTTTGTAAATGCTGCTACAGTCACAGCTTGCTGGCTGGACAGCAATCTATTCAAATTTTTTGCCGAATTTGAAAATCGTGTTTTTCTTCATCTGATATTTTTTTGTAGATTGCCACTCGAAAGCGATAGGATTCCAATGCTCACTTTTCTCCAGAGAGAATTGCGATATATTCGAAAGTTACTCAGCAAATAGTGTAAAATCATGCAAGTGACTTTTTTAAAATTTTACAAATTGAGCCACTAGCCACGCCCCTTTTGGAATGCTTCCCCACTTTTTAGCGGGCCTTCAAAATTCTTTACGCCCCTCCGGCCCTCCCCCCGCCCCGAACGGATTTCTCGGACCGTCAAGGTTAGCTACAATCGCCCATGTTATAGTACTTGAGCAAAAATGTAAGGAAAAGGGAGACGATAGTAAAACGCTTACTTTCTTGCTTCGTGAACACGTCGTTCGTCGCGTATGGTGCGTGACTGCACACTATTCCATTCAAGCTAAGGCGGCTATAAATGGTTTTGACACTTTTTTAACGGCTCATTTAGCACTCGAGCGATAGCAAAAAAAAAGCACGAACAAATGCGTTTGCAAAAAAATTCCAAAAACTGGAGCTATTATGACTTCATTGTCTAAAGTATATAAGCAAATAGCCTTGAATGCTACAATTTTCACTTCTCAGAGCATTTCATAGCGGAAGGAGGGCTCAGCAATACCATTGAGAAAGATTTATGATAGAATAGATATGTGCAAAGAACCAGTACGAAGGTGTTAGTGGTAGAGATTGCCTGAATAATGACCTTAGTAGTCAACGAACAGGAAAGTCGTATGAGAAGTCATTCACTGTAAAAAAGTGACTTTCGTTTGGCAAAAACAGAAACGGCCAAGGCTGAAATTTTAACGTTGAAGGTTGAAAAACTCCTTTAGAATATATGATTTGCAAAGGAAATAGATAAACTTTATAGGAATAGAAATCTGCAGTGAATCGATTAAGATGAATGAAATGCCCTTAGACATACTTCAACGGTAAAAGTGTCGTAAAACGATTAAACTGGTCGTACTTGAGGAGAAAACCTCTTGTAGAAGATGGTAGAAAGAGCCAGCCGCACCACGTCACGGTTAGTAGAGGAATGAAGTGACCCGTACGGAGGAGAAATGATTTTGTCACTGAATATGACTATCAACTCAAATGAACGCGTTGAACATGAGTTTACACGTTCATTTTCATTTTGTACATTTTTCCAGTTTCTCGTCAAATTTATTACCTCTGAGATTTCTCTCACCACAATCAGCCAATGTCCAATCCTGACGAAGTTTTCCAAAAGAAACCTACACGGCTGTTAGTGAATCTCTATGTCGTCGCGCCAATAAGTGTTCAGTAAGAGTATTGCACACCGAGCGCGCTACTTGACGACTTGCAAGATAAGAATCAGTTCAGTTCGAATAATTTCTCTTTTTCTTATCTTTTTTGCTCTGATTGGATTGATAGTTAGTCACTTGTATTCACTTTGGTCACTTGTACACATTTCAACGGTCTGTTACGCTTGAAGGTTCCACCAAGGACTTACTGGTATCCTTTGATTCAACCGAATTGGCGGTTGAAAGGCGAGGCTTCTTGGCCTACTTAAGGCTAGACAATGGTCAGAGAGCATGCGCGCGAGAGAGACGCAAACTGCATCGCGGACGCGAGTGGCCTTAATTTAGGTCACAAAGTTTCGCCTTCCAGCCGTCAAGCCAGTTGAATCAAAGGTCAAGTCTGCTGTTGATTGTCGCGCATAGGGGGGGGGGCTCACATATTAAATTACGAAAGGAGCAGGGATAACATTGGTCGACGCATTGAAGCTCGAACCATAAGCCCCATATTTTCCCGGCAGATTTCGCGGCATTCTCAATCAGGAAGGGTGAAAGGGTCGTAAGCAATCTATGAAGGAATATCCAGATTTCGATAAAACTATAATAGTTTTGGATTTGAATACATTAGAATGCTGTAAGCCTGCTGCGCTCTGAATTTTTTGCGTTAAGAAGAGTTTTCTTTGGAGGTTTCACATTTTCACAAATAGCATATGATAACTTTTAAGCTCTTAGATAAAATTAGACTCATTCAATCGATTATCAAGGATGATCAAAATATGTGAAGGAAGAGAGTTTGATTGAAAAAAAAACCTTTAGGTTGGTTCGGAAGATTTCTTGGATATTGCATTTAGAAAAAGTTTTTGTTTCGTTGTAAGCACTGATTTGGGCGTGCTGCATACCATTGGATATAGGAAAGCAATCTCTACAAGTTTACGGTAAACACAAACATTATCAATGCTTTCTGTGGAAATTCAGGCGAAAATTCTAAAGCATAGGATTTTGACTAACCTGGATCTCCAACTTCTGTGAATGTTATGAAACCCCCAAGTGCTCTAATTTATAGTACAAACATAACTACATACTTACATGCATAGTTTGTACGGAATTTGAGCTTAAAAGACAAGAAAAACTAGGTAATTATTGTAGAAAGTGGCGAACTCCGCCCCCATTGGTCCTAAGCTCCTCCTACTTGCTCATATTGGGCACAGGCGAGAGGGAGTACAGCTGCTTTTCGAGGATTTAACCTTTGATTTAACTGGCCTGGCGGCAGGAAGGCGGGGCTTTGTGACCTAATAAAGGCCGCTAGCGCCCGCTATGCCGTCTGCGTCTCTCCCGCGCGCGTGCTCTCTGATCATCACCTAGCCTGACAAGCCATTTATAGGAAAGAATACATGCATTAGGTTTCGAGAAATAGCAAATTTAGTCCAAAAATGTCCGACAACCAATCTATTAAGAATCATGAGAGCAGCATGGAAAAACCCTTGATTGGTGAGCATGCTTCTTTTGTTGATTTCTGAATTATCCACTCTGTTTCGTTCATCTTCAAATTTCTAAGCATACATCGTGTAGCAATAACGGTTTCGATTACACAATTGAATTGTCGGAAAGAGTAGTCGAGGCGAAAGGAGGCAGACAAGCGCCAAATGGACTTTTCAAAACAAAGTGTGGCGGAAGAGGACTGGTCAACAAAATCGCCAATTGTTATAGAGCATCCTCGTCTCCCCGTCTCCCTTAACATCAACTAGTCTTGACTACTTCGACAAAACTTCAATTGTACTACTCAAGGTTAAAATCCGGAAGACGCGAAACATTGTCAATGGACTGTAAGCCTTTTTTGCTTTCAAAGGTCTTACAGTTCTGGGGCAAAAAGAAATACTGGTCTTAAAGGCTTAGGATTGCACAATGGTCGGAGACTGTCTTTAAAACAGGTGTCTTGTAATGTACATAGCTAGAAGTATTCACAAACAAAATCCGAACAACATAATGGTAAGCACAGTAATTCTTTCGTAAACTTCAAGTAAGAGCTGAACATGCTAAAAGCCAGTCTTATACTGGTTCCAAACGAAAGCATCATAAAGAAACAAGCACTTGTTACGATTTTGATGCTCTAAGAGGTGAAAAATTATTTGCAGCAAACAAATTAGGGCACTTGGGCATGGTACCTTGTTTGTTTACGTAATCGCTTTTGTACCGGGCAGTCAACAGAGTTCAAAAATGTCACGATAATGGGGGTGAAAAGCCACTTGAGTATGACATGAACTATAAGATGTGGTTATTGTCAAAAATTATGTTCATTGGGGACCAAAAGATCAAGAAAAGAGGTATAAAATGCACAGGTTAGCGTGCACAAATTTTGAGCCGAAAAGGCATTCATGGAAATAAAAGATGCTTAGAAAAGAGGAAAAAGGACTTTTTTGTTTATCCGGAAATTCTACTATTTGGGTAAAACTTATGTGCTATAAGCGAGGAATGCGAGCATCAAGGAGTGGATGGCGGAAAGCCATGAAAAGTTTATGGGCATAAAATGATGGTTTTGTTTGACGGGCAAGAAAGGCGGAAGTGCAGCCAGCAATAGTTTTTATCCCTTCCAAAAAAAATTAGAGCTGAAGGTAATATTCGTCAAATTTCATTGCAAGCTCCTTTGAGTATGAAACAAGGCGGATAGATACAAATAATTGCTCAAATGTGTGAAAAATACAAAAAAAGAAGTGATCTGAAGGAAAAATCAACAAATACAGGTATAATATGAAAGTGGAGAGCAGAATAGGCTACGTAAAAATTTAGAGATGTGAGATATTAGCCCTGCGTGTCATTCCAATAAAATTTGGAACCATACATTGTTTTCAAAAAAAACATCACTCGGAAAAGAGTTCCGAGAAAATCCTTGAGCGCCAAGACTACATATTCTTGAAGGAAACAGTTAGAAAAACCTGATTCACATAATCGGACTTAGCACAGTGCAGAAATAAAAAATTATTCGGATTGGAGTGGCTGTTAGATTTCTTGAGATCTTGCTCATTTTTGACAGAAAAGTGGGAGCAATCAACTTTTTTAATTTGATATCCAGAGCTCTAAAAAATTCACTGTATAGATGATATGGAATTTACCACATCTCACACCATTTTGCTTGTCGTCTAGGCATGTTTTTGAGAATTACATCTTATTTTCATTGTACTCAACCTTTTTTGCACAAAAAGGAAAATCCTATAAAAAGTAACTTACTAATCAATTAGTGAAGAGACGCTGTATGGATTGCAGCATGCCACGCCCAAATCTTCAGGTAGGTACAACCAGCCACGCTTTACCGAATGTGCTAGGCAGTTGAAATACTGAAAGATAAACGAATTTTTTACAAAGAACTAAAATACAAGTAAAGCGTTAGGTGCAAACGCCAAATGTTCGATCGTAACAACACAATCGCTATGATTCATAAGTACAATTCCCATCATTGTACAGGGCAAAATTGGGATTCTAGTATGGGAACAATATGAGGTGCTGGGATAAGAAAATCGATAAAATGAGAAAAATCTTAGCAATATTTGCAGACATTCAATGGGCATCGAGCTCTAAACTCATTTGCACATTTACGACGCCGATTGTTGCAGATTTATGAAAGCCATAAAGAGTTGATAAAATGGAAAATGGGTGGGCGCTAACACTCTGCTCGACCCTTTGTAAAGAAATAGTTCAATACAGTACAAATCGAGCTGAATTATTTCCAGTTGATTTTTCTGATTCGCTGGTATGAATTTTTCAAGGTTTTCGTATGGTGAGAATGTTTTCAATAAAGAACAAGCGCGAAAACATTTTCTATTAAAGTGGCTTGGACTCAGCCATGTTTTCTGTAAAATCTGTCACGTAACCTTTTTTTCAAAAATTTGAAACATTGCATACATAATTGAAATAGGAGTTGCTTTAAGTTCTACAATTGTTAATGTAAATCCAAAGAACACAAGAAATCTAGAAAACCAAAAAACCGGAAATCATCGCAGCCATGAGGGCAACAAACTCGATCCAACACATTTGGGATAATGTAAGTAGATTTATGAAAGTCATTAAGAATCAATAATTGGGGACTAAGCGGCCGACAATGCCACTGAAACGCTTTGTAAATAGAACGTGGATTCTATCACAATGCTTTTTTCCGAAACCAGTACCTCTAGAAAAATACTTTGTGTTAGCCCTACTGAGCAAACGATGTCTATTACGCCATGATCGTGATAGGAGTTCCGCAGTAATTTGATTCGTCTTTAAATGCGCATTGGGTAGTTACCGTAATCCTACAGTTACATAGATGATGAAATAAGCCATAAAAGTAGTGCAAAAGGCAAACATTTAGCAGGCGTTGTGCAATGAGTTGTAAGCCATTGCAGGCGCATAATATGGGCAAAGAAAGGTCTGAGCCTTTCCCATTGAATCATTTTTAGCCCCTTGCAGGCAATTTAGGAATAATTTAAAGCAAAATGCGCTTTCCGAGCTTGAATTACACCGCAGGACTCCAAGTGCACATTTGGTTCATAATCTTTTGCAAATAGCTAGGATTCCGAACTCTAAAGGAATAAAGTATTTAAAACAAGGCCACTTTTCAAAAGCAACCAAATTATATAGAGAATTATATAAAAGGAAGTAAATACAAGATTTGATTGGGTAATTGAATTACCCTGAGTTGCAGAATGAGAAACTGTTATCAATAAAGAGAAATTCTTAGATTTATTGAGAGTGAAAGTAGCAGCTGATTTGTTGCAAAAAATGATCTTATCATCGACGACAGATTTAGCGAAGAAAATGACTCTTCCACGAAAAATTACGGACATAAGAAAGTTATCAAATATAGATGCAAACAACTTCTGCTATGACAAAAAAAGGAACTCTGAAAGAGTGAAAAAGTGTTCTGACGTTGTTATGATAGATCTATGCATGGAGAATAACGCTTGTGCTGTCAAAAGTGCCCTTTTAGCTTCAATGAGGCGTGAAGAAAACAAGCAAGAAACAGGCACAAAACGTTTGATGAGAAGTGGTCCTTGAGGAATTTACTATGCAAAAACAAGTTTTTGAGAGGTTTGTGAGCAATAGATAAATGCATTCAATAAGTGAAAAAGGAGGTTTCCTGAGGCTCATCGAAAAATCTGAAGAATAAGCTCGAAATTTAGGTAAGCTGTTACATTTCAAAGTTATGATTATATAATAAATCCACATGAAAGGAAGTCGGACCGCTTTTTTGAGCGAAAATTTTGAATTAATTTCATTTCATAATTTGAAAAGGGGTCATCCTCATATAGAATTCCGAAAATAATCGAAGATGATCTAAGTAAATTATTATTATAAAAACTCAAAGTCATGGAAGTCAGAAGTTTGTACGAAAGGAGTCAGAAGAACTTTATTTGAATTGAATGCATTTCATTTTCCTGCAAAAGCTTGACAAAAAATATAGACAAAAAATCAAAAAATTCAAAAAAATATTCATTTTTGAAGTATCAAAAGGTAGTAGAAATAAGTTCTTTTGAAAGTTAGATGAATGAATTTTGTATAGATACTTCAACACAGATTAGCGGAAACTATGGATGTACTAGTCTGAATAACATACTGAGAGATCTTTCTAGAAAATAGTTCGTACCCAGTTCACAGCTTCGTGTATTTTTGGCAAAAAACGATAATCTGTGACCAGCAATGAGAGGGTAAAAATCACCACTTTTTTTACAAAATAGTATGCAACAAATTTAGTACATCGATAAAATAGTACAACAACAATCGAGCGCTAGGTTTTGCGTAGATTTGATCGATTCTACGAGGATGATCCAAACCGAAGCGGACACTGGCTAGACTGGTCATTATTTTGCAGATCAAGCGAACACAAGGAGGCACGTAGAACAGCAAGCTGGGTAACCAGAATTTTATTGTTTGTCCTGTTATTTACGGAAGAAAAAAATTATAATTGGATCAGATGATTGCTCCCGAAATTGAAGATGATTGTACAATAACATGCAGGACAGTGCTGCTGTTTTGCGTAAAGTTCATGTCTTCTGTCTGATGTTCTCGAATCAACTGAGTAGATTGCAATATGAATGAAGGAAGAAAACTGAAGAAGGACTGAAAACGAACAAAATTCACAACGTGATAAGAAAAACGAAAATTTGTTATGACTGTAAATTTGAACTCATTTATTTCTTTTTACCATTGATTTACGAATCCTTAAGATAACAAAAAAAATTGTTAGACTTATACTTATAATTGTAAATCCAACTGTAAGGTTCACTCGTCGAATTGTTCAGAAGAGGTGTTTGAGATTTCCCACTTCATGCGCCATTAACGTATCAAAATCTGATTGTGAGTGGTGAGGACAATGGTGAAGTTTATGAGATTCATTCGCAGTGCCACGCACAATTTGCGCGAAATCCTTTGTCAGGAAGAGTTAGATGACTTTGCGAGATATTCAATTTGCAACGATGCGAACACCGATAGGAGATTCAATATCATGCTCATTCAACAGCATTTTCAAATAAATGCGCTTGTGAGAGAAAATTTGACAACAGTTATTGATCAGATATGATATTGTCGAAGTGCTTGTCAGCTTGTCTGTCAGAAGTACTAGTTCTGAAACTTGGCACCTTTAAGTACAAATGGCATAGTAGAGAAGCCCTAGAGATCCCAGAAAATCCTGATAATCCTTCATTTGTTAGCACATATAGTAGGCGCATAGAAACATTCACAGCTTTTTCTGCACATCTTTTTCGATAAAATAGACGTGCGCGAAAAATGACAAACTCCGCCCCCAGAATTTTTAGGTTGCTTTGACATGCATAAATCTCAAAATATTAATTAGAAGTGCAAACACGAATTTATGGGCTTATATGTGCTTGATATACAAGATATATCAATTTTTCTAAAGAGTAGCTGAGAAAGGCAATGTTATTTGAAACTACCTATGATAAAAGGAAACCACTGGTAAACTCTGCCCCTAAGAATCTTGTATTCTTCTCAGGACAAGGATTATATTGTGAATCAAATGTACTCATAAATGACCTGTGATTTGAAAAAAAAAAGAAAGTAGATTTCAGGTACGATCAAGATTAGCAGATCCATCTAAGACAAAATATTTAATTTAAACGGAAGCCATTTTAACAAAAAAAAATTCTTTGGAATCTCTAACCATTCATGATAGAAGACAATCAATCGATCAACCACGAGAAATGCACACCATATGAGACGATTACGACTAAAAATTTGTATTCATAGCGACATTTGCGCAAGCTGCTAATTTCAATGATGACGTGAAAGAGTGGGCAGAGATGAGGGGGAGGATGTTAGAGAAAAAAGAGAAAATAGATGAATAAAATTTGGACAGACCCAGTGTCAATACTATTTTTTCAAGAAAGGCAAACGTAATTTTGAAAAAGACGTTCAAGTTTTTGCTCATAAATTTCCTACATAATGAATTATCATCCACAAATCAGTCCTGTTTCTTCGAAAAATGAAGAAGTTCAAGAAAGCTTTCATCTGAGGTAGATGAGGTGAGATGAGATGTAATTTTGTGAAGCCCATTTCGCATAAACTTTAGGCAATATTCGTAGGCCATTTCGAGCGAATGGGCGAAAAACAACCTCTTGAAAAAGTGCAGAAAAAAAGTGAAGTGGACGAAAAAAGACTGTTCAAAGAGTAGAAGTACTTGACTAACCATTCTTGTCCATCTGGTTAGAAGAAAAGTTATGAATTTTTTGTAGAAAATTTCAAACTGTGCAGAAATAATTCCGGAATTTTGGAACATAAATTTGAGCTTCAATTCACAGAGCAAATCATATCAGAGAGCGAGACCAGAATAAAAAAAATTAAAAATTTTCATGAAAAATTTCGAAGAAAAGACTTTGCAGATACGGTTATAAAAATGCTATTTTTTTGTGACAATCAAGTTCTCGAGCTAGCCACTCGAGTGCTTGAATGCTTAAAAATTGCCATGAAAAACTAGACTGAGGGCTAGTTGGCGCGATAATTACGGCTTTTTACACAAAAAAACATTTTTAGCTCTACAAAAACTTTCCCAAACTAATCAATAAAAATATGAACGATCTGCTTGGGGGACTGAAATTGATCCCATGTCACAGGAGTTCAGGTGCAATTATTAACATCGGAGCAGCGGCGACGGCGGCGGGAGAGCGACGGCGACAACAGAGTGCCGATAGCGGATATAGTGTAAATGCGGCTGGCGCTGGTCCAAACACGAGTGTCGCATAGCAGAATAACAGTGGAAGATGGATCGAATGGGGCGAAGATGGAGTTGCGTAAAGGGCAATTTGTCGAGCTCACTTGTCCGCTTTTAGCCAAGGCAAAAACACTTTCT